TTCCTGCTCCTCCAATCACCACCCGCCACGTGTCTGTGGGGGTTGTGGGGGTGGTAATTGGAGGGGGTCTCTATCATGGCTCAAAATATTAATGTCTACAAGAATAAATATTCTTCGCATCTCTATCTCTCTCTCTCAAATGGTAATTGTTAAGATTTCATTGTTTAAAACTTTTTTTTTTTCTTTTTTCTTTTTTTTCCCTTTCATTCAAGCTTAATCTCTATATCCATCCAACCTCTGTTAACAATAGAACAACAATAGATTAGGCCCATATATGAAAATAACCATGGATGCCTCCTTCAAATTCTAAGGTAACTACAAATAGTTGTTGGCCTTAGTGCAAAGATTATGTGTGAGATTTTCTACATGTTTGTTATTTATCTATATCTATATTAAGTAAAATGATGTTTTCAAAAACAGGCAACTCTTTGGTTTATCCAATCTTTAAAATAAAAAAAAAAAAAGGCACTAAAAAAAAATCACAAGTGGCTCAAACCCTCACCAAATTAAAAAATATGTTACTCAATTCTTAAAAAATTCCGAGTTAGGCTCAAGTTTGTTACTCTAGCAAAAGGAGATGAAGTTATATAATTGAGTTAGTGACGACTTAAAAATTGATACATAAAATACATGTCATTATAGTAAAATTGTGAGAAATGTTTGGGAACTGCAAGTTGTCAATTGACTATCTCTATTTTTTTACGTGACGTTTCATAATAAATTAAAAAATTATTTAAAAAGTCAATTTCGAAACAAGTCCAATTGTGAGTTTCAATCTTTTTCATTTTTATATTTTGCATACAAAAATCTAACTATATATATTATTTATATAAAACTTATGTTATTAATTTTTTTTATATGCCGTGCATAATACAGGCTTATCGCTAGTTTGGTGATATTGAAATGTGATATTTGTCATATTGTCATCATAAATTTACACAAAAACTGTTGGGCCCTACTATTTTAACAAATAAAAATAAAATTGAGACATCAAATAAATTTTGCTCCAAACAATACCACCAAATAAATTATTTTCCATTTGGGCTGAGCTTCCCTCTATGTGATATTGGAATGTGATATTTGTCATATTGTGAGCATAAATTTACACAAAAACTGTTGGGCCCAACTATTTTAACAAATAAAAATAAAATTGAGACATCAATTAAATTTGGTTCCAAACAATACCACCAAATAAATTATTTTCCATTGGGCTGAGCTTCCCTCCACTAGAGAGGGCTGTCTGGGCTTGCTTTCCTCCAGCACCACTCGTTTCGTTTTAATGATTTAAATTATTCATTTTATAAAAAATTTCATATATATCATTAAAAGAAAATTTTAGATCAATCAAACAATCATAGAAATTTAATTTATCGCATTTATCACACACAAAAGAAAAATGGATGGTCTATTTTCAAAAATACACTACTGTTCATGTTTTTAGAAACAAATGGTATAAATTGAATATGTTATTATTATTTTAATTTAGTTTTGATATAAATGATATACACAAATTTTTTTATAAAATAAGCTATTCAAATTATCAAAATAATATTCATAATAGATCCCTGAAGTTCAAAAAGTTCCTTCCCATCAAAATCTTTGAGCAGATCAAGCCATAGCCTTCCAATACACTGTAACCTCTTTCACTGAGCCTTATGTGTAATGTCCTTCAATACAGAAAGCTCAGGCACAGAACAAAGTTAGCACAACAGTCTAATGGATACAAATTGGTATCAATTCTTTCATTTACCCAACTAGGGAAAATGAGAAAACAGTGAGAGACACACCAGACTCCATTATATGTATATATATGTTTGGAGATAATAACACATGCATGAAGGGGTACCCCACTCAAAGGTGGGTCCTACAACTCAAAAGCAGAGGACAGTGGTCAAATCATCACATGATCTTTCAAAAACTCTTTTAAACAATCACATCAGATTTGCTTTTTGTGATACTCCCTCCTTCCTGAGCCAGATTCTTTGTCTATCACTATCCCTATCCACATGATTGCTTTGAATTCAATGCCTGCAATTTTTATCCCACCAAAAAAAGAATTGAATGGTGTTTGATCACTGTGATTTTGTAACTTTCAAATCTAATCTAAATATGGCAAATCATTAAGATAGCATCTCTGAGTTTTATAAACTTATCCATACAGTGTCATATCTTAATTTACAAATTAATTAGTAAATATATTTTTTCTCTCCAATGAGTGGATTGAATTGTGTGTTACTGTACAAATTAGTGTCACAAGAAAATCGTGTGTTAAGGATAGGTAGATTGCTAGCAAAAATGAGAAAGAAAGATGAGAGCAGACGTTGGAGATGAAAACGAGCCAAGTCAAATTGATTGAGATCTGTAGGACTCAAGCTTAGTTTGTTTGTTTATTGTTCGAAAATCTAATCCAAACTGGACTCGGTTTGTTAACTAACTAAGTTTAAGGTCAGTTCAAAACTCAATAATGAATTCTTTTTTATTAGGATAAATTACCAACAGGTTCTAATAGTTAGACTTAATTCCTATCAAATCCTATTGAAAATAAGTCTTGGTAAAATTGTCGCTAAAATAATTTTTTTGTGACAATTTTTTACATACGTCGCTAAAAATTGACAATTAGTGACTTTTTTATCATGATTTTTATAAATTATCGCTAAAATTTACAATTAGTGACTCTTTTTATAACAATTTTTTTTCATAGGACTTATTAGACAATAAAGTCCACTTATTAGGACCTACACGTAAGTACCTTTTTTTTATAAACATTTTACATTATTAATATGCAAATTAAAAATTTATAATATTATTCAAATCAATAAATAAATAAGTCCAACTTATTCAAACTTATTTATTTATTTGACAAATTGAGTCGAACTCCAAAACAATTTGGTTCAATTGCACCGTTGGGATGGGGTATTGACACATTCAAAAACAGAGCGAGGAGACCAGTTGATAGGTTTTTTTTTTTTTTTTCGTATGTGTATATTTTTTGTATGTGTATATTTTTTATACTCACAAATTTTAATTATATTATTAGAACAATCGTGCTTTAGATTAATAAATATTTAGCACATAAAATTGAGTACTCCTTCCATTCCAAAATAATAGTCTTTTTTGAAGAATTTAACTTTTTTTGATAGTACAATTATTGCACTTTAAAAAATTAATTTTTTAAAATTACCCTTTTATAGTACTTTTTTTTTAGAATATCAATGTCATAATTGTACTTTTTATGTTGTTAATGAATTTAAAAGAAGGGCAAATAGAAAATTTATATTATTTTTGTACTTAATTTTTGAAAAGAAACTAATATTTTGGGAAAATAAAAAATAAAATAAATGACTAATATTTTGAGACGTATCGAGTATATTTTTTGGGCCAATTTGGCAACACAATTAAAAGCCAAAAATCAACTTTTAAACCATTTTTAATTATACTACCTCTCACATTTTTTATATATTTTTTTAAAAAAAATTAAAAAAATCAACTTTTAATCATCCTCCTCAAACATATTTGATTAGAAATGCGTTAATGTTGTGACTGGGATAGGAGAGACTGTTTAGTGTGACATGTTGCAGTGGCAAAGTCATATCACAGATGAATTGTCATCATCTGTTTGTGTGAGAATGCCACAAGTGACAGTAAACAAATTTCTCTCTAAACCAGGCTACAGCTTTAGCATCAAAGAGGTGCCAATAGCATTAGCCAAAAAATCCTTACTCATTATAACATGAGCCATAGATCAAAAGAAGGTATAGTTAATAAGGCAAATGTTAAAAAGTGTTTCTTATACCTTGATTAATGTTGAAATTAATGTAAATGTGTTTTGAAAGTGATAAAAAAAATTAAAAAATGTTTTAAAATGACTGTAAAGTGTTATAAAACTAATGAAAAGCATAAGAGAAATAACATCACAGTAGTACAGAAAAAAAATTACAAATCTATGTTAAAATTTATATGCTTTAATAATTAAAATGCTATGATTTTGCATGATTCGATAAGAAATTTCTTTTGACCCCATTGTGATGTTATTATCACAAGAGTATATTAGGTTCTATATTATTTTGACTTTCGTCTTTTTCTTGTGGACACTTGTTAACAAAACTTTTTTTAGACTAATGACAATCTTTTGCAGGGATTGATCTAAAATTATTACTATAAGAGTGCGAAAATAAGTTTGAGAGTACAAACTTTTATAATTTTAAATTTTCTAATATAATATATAATAATTTAAAATTTTTGAAGGTATGTTCACCTCTGCGGTAAATCCATTATTGATCTTTCGTGTAATCATTAGCATTTTCTTTTATTGAAAACACAAATCAGTTTTCTAAAACAATTCCAGACAGTTCCTAATATTCTTAAATTAGGTTAATAAGTAGCTTAACTCTTGAGCTATCTGAGTCTGATTTCATCCTTGACAAAAAAAATAAATAATGATAATAAAATAAAATAAAATAATTTTCACTTGTTCAACCCAAACACAAAATGCCATTATTTAATACCTAAAAAAATGTAATTTTTTATTTTGCAATAGTGGGCCCTATTATTACCTTTATTGAAAACACAAATCAGTTTTCTAAAACAATTCCAGACAGTTCCTAATATTCTTAAATTAGGTTAATAAGTAGCTTAACTCTTGAGCTATCTGAGTCTGATTTCATCCTTGACAAAAAAAATAAATAATGATAATAAAATAAAATAAAATAATTTTCACTTGTTCAACCCAAACACAAAATGCCATTATTTATTACCTAAAAAAATGCAATTTTTTATTTTGCAATAGTGGGCCCTATTATTATGTTTGCAAGCTGAGAATTGAACCTTAAAACCTGGACAAAAAAACAGAATCTGTTGTTATCTAATTCTCCAAATGCCAAAATTGCATATGTTGGCTCTTTTTCTTTTCTTTTTTTTTTTTTTGGTTCTTCTCCATTTAGTAGTAAACAAATATCAACCCTTTTTTCTTCTTTACACCAAACAAAAAAAGACACATAAAATATGAAAAAGCTGATCAATAAATAAAAACTAATACAAATCACAAACCTCTTCAAATCCTTAGAAGCAATTTCTAATGTAAAATATGTATGTCACTAGAAACCACCCATCTTGGCATTAGATGAAGATGAGTAAAGCAATGAGGATGCAGAGAAGCTTGTGTTATTGCTCTTTGGGTACAAACTTTGCATTGTCTTCGTGGATGATGATGAAGGCGCCGGAACTCCACCGGAGTTCTTGTTTTCCCGAGCATCCGTGGCGGTGGCCATGGCCGTGGCCGTGGCCGGAGAGCCCTTGAGAAGGACATCAACCTTTGCATACTCTTCCCTTTCATGCTTGATTTCTTTGAGCATTGCCGCGACATCTTTCATTGTAGGCCTTTCGTCAGGGGACGAGTTGACACATAACAAGGCTATTCCTAGGGCTTGCATCATTTCCTCAATTTCCGATTCAGGCCGCGATAGTAGGCTTGGAGCAAGGACTTCAACTCCTTTTCCCCTCTTCTGTCTCACCCAATCTACTACATGGAGGCCTTCGGGTATCGTTGGATCGATTGGTTGCTTCCCTGTCAATACTTCCAATGCAACTACACCGTAGCTATAAACATCGCTCTTCTCTGTGATCTTCATCATGTAACCATATTCTTAAAAAACAAAAATAAAAGAAAAAATTAGTACAAAGGTTGCTAAATTGGGTTTCATTTATCTATCTAAGAATCTACTAAGGATTACTGAGCGGGCTCAACAGTATAGGCAATTTAGCAGTTCGCCTAAAACCTGTCAAAAAATTCCTTTTTGCCAAAGGTCCTGACTATCTAAGGCCCTGGTAAGGACTGGTTTTGATGTTTGGCCTAGGGCCTCAAAAAACTTCGGGCCGCTACTTCTTAGGAAGCATGAAAATGAGGCCAAAAAACTATTTAAAATCCAGTAGTTTTACATACACATAAACAAATCACAGAATAGATCAGAGAACACTAACAATGGTGTGCGTCGTGGATCCTTTCCTTGTAAGTGTTCTGTGATCTGTTTTTATGCCAATATCATTTTCCTTTAAATCACTTGCCACGGGTTTACAAACAGAGACAAGATAGTGTATTGCTTCATAACAAAAGGCTTAAAACATTATGTTAACAGAAAAATGTTGCAACAAATCTAAGTTGAATCAAGATTCTGTTATTCACATTCACATTTGGCTAGAATTCAATGTAAACTATTCACACAAGTAAAATTATGCTCCATGAATTATACATCATAGAAAAAATAAAATTAAAAACTTACCGGGTGCAATGTACCCATAAGAACCTGCAACTGTATTAGATGATCGAGCAAAATCACCATCATCGACCAGCTTGGCTAGTCCGAAATCTGCAATATAAGGCTCGAATTCAAGGCCGATGAGGATGTTATTGGCCTTAATGTCCCTATGAACAATTGGAGGGACACAATCATGGTGCAAATAAGCAAGTCCTTCAGCTGCCCCTAACAGAATTTGGTACCTCAATTCCCACTCCAAAGGGTTTCCATTTCGCTCATGTAGCAAACTTCCTAAGCTCCCATTTGGCATATAATCGTACATTAGTAACCTCGTGTTCCGATTCCAACAACAACCCAAGAACCGAACAATATTCTTATGACGGATTGAGCCAAGCGTTTTCACCTCCGCGGAGAAGGAATCACGGACCCCGCACTTGTCCTCGGTACAACCATTGGATGCAGCCGCCGTTGTCGTTGGCCAAAGCTTTTTAACAGCAATAACTTCCCCGTTATTCATGTCAGCACGATAAACAACCCCAGAACACCCTTTTCCGATCACATTTGAATCGATTAGACATCTCAAAACTTGCTCAATGGAGAAATTTAGCTTTTGGAATGGAGTGAATTGCCAAGGCCACGACTCTCCCATCTCAGACTCATCGTCACCTCTAATAGTCCTTTGTGCACGAATCACAGCAATTGTCCCCATAATCACCATTGCAATTGTCACAGTGATTAGCAAAGCAAGCGCAAGTTTAAGCCTCCTAGACCGCTTAATATCGCTCTCGTTTTTCTCTATTCCCGACCCTGCAACATTGGTTAAAAAGCATGAGTCGCGGCCAAATGAGCATAGACCTTGGTTCCCGGCTAAATCACTTGTTGATAATTGTCGAAACAGCTTGTTGTCGGGCAAATAACCGGTGAAATTGTTGTAAGAGATATTGAGAGCGACCAGATTGTCGAGCCGGGACAGAGGACTCAAATCCCCCAGAAGCTTGTTGTGTGAAATGTCTAATATAGAAAGCTTGTTGAGTGCAGAGATTTGAGCTGGTATTGGACCAGTAAATTCATTGCAACTGAGATTCAAAGCAATTTCTAGAGCCTCAATCTTACACAACTCAACTGGGATATCACCATTGAGTCCATTGCTGCTCAGATCAAGCAATTGGAGGCTAGAACAGAGTCCAATCGATGGCGGTATTGAACCGGTGAATGAGTTCTTAGCCAGAATGAGCTTGTTCAACGAAACAAGCCGGCCTAAACTCGCTGGAATCGGACCCACAAACCGATTAGTAGAAACATCTAGAACTTGTAGGCCAGACAGAGATGAGAGTGAATTAGGCAGGGGACCCTCCAGAGTATTGTTACTGATATCAACCATTTGAAGCTCTGTGCAGCTCCCAATCTCATCAGGGACTGACCCAGAAAGGCGATTTCCGGACAAATCTAGAAAATTCAAGCTGCTTAAACCCCCAATTTCTTTCGGAATTTCATTCGCAATCCTGTTGTTTCCAAGCCTCAGCCTCACCAGAGAGCTACAATTACCGATTTCAGGCGGTATTGAACCCGAAATATCATTAGAAATCAAGAGAAGTTTAGTGAGGTTTTTGAGCTGAAATAGACCTGGTGGTAAGCTACCAGTGAGTGAGTTGTGTGATAAATCAAGTGCTTCGAGGTTACTACAACTAGCCAAACTTGAAGGAATGCTTCCTTCAAGCTGGTTTTGCCAAGCAAAGAACACAAGAAGTTTTGACAATGTACCAAGCTCTGGAGGAATCAACCCCGAGATTTGATTCGTATCGAGCTGTAACTGAATTAAGTTGGTAGCGTTCGAAAGAACTGAAGGTATCGAACCCGACACATTGTTGTTGCTTAACATGAGTTCTTCGAGTTGAGTTAAACGACCAAAAGTCCATGGTATAGACCCAGATAAAGAATTCAATGAAAGATCAATCATTGTCAAGCTACTACAATTCCCAATCTCTTGAGGAATCACCCCGACAAAATTGTTCTGCCATAGAAGCAATTTTTCGAGCTTTTTAAGCTTTCCGAGCTCAAATGGAATCGAACCCGAAAGCGCATTTTCATATAAATACAAGTTCACAAGCTCAGAGCAGTTACCTATCTCCGGCGGTATTTCGCCGGAGAGCATTGCCGTGTAGATAGACAGTGTCTGGAGCTTCTGGAGTCTACCCAGTGAGCCCGGTACGGGCCCGGAAACCCGTGTATCGGCGAGGCCTAAAAGGGTCAAGTTCCGGCAGTTTCCGAGCTCGTCAGGGATTTTGCCGGCGATATCTTTATTGCCGCCGGCACGGAGGACTTCGAGGCCCGTTAAGAGGCCCAATTCAGCGGGAATCGGGCCGCTGAGACGGTTATCGAAGAGAAGAAGGTTTTTGAGGCTTGTGCATTGGCTAAGCTCCGGTGGGATTTTTCCGGTGAGTTGATTTGAATTCAATATCAAGTCTTGGAGGTTTTGGAGATTGCTGAGACTTTGTGGGATTGTTCCGATGAGGCTGTTTGAGCTGAGATCGATGACGGTGAGGCCACGGCAGTCGCCGAGGTCGCCGGAGATGGTGCCGGTGAGATTGGCGCCGGAGATGATGAGTTTTTGGAGAGATGGGAATGAAGAAAGGTTTGATGGGAGAGGAAGTTGGAGAGGGATTGATTGAATGTTGATTTCGGAGACTAAGTTTTGGGGAGTGCATGTTATGAAGGCCCATTTGCATGGATTGGTGTCAAGGTTGTTCCAGTCAGAGAAAGAGGAGACAGAAGAGGAGGAAGGTGGGGATGGAGAGCTGTGGAGCCATGAGTAGAGTGTTGAAGCCTCGTGGTTGGCTGCGGCGGTGGAGGTGGTGGTGGTGAAAAGGGTTGAGATTGAGAGGAGAGTGAAAGAGAGGAAGAGAAGTGGTGGTGGTGGAGATGGTGGTGGTGGTGATGATGGAGAGAGGTGGTTGGGTTTGTAGGAGAGGTGCCTCGAGCTGGGCATCGACATTTGCCTCAATTTCCAAACCTTTCGTCTCGGGTTTGCATCATTTGGGTTTTGCTGCTTGTTTCTCTCTCTCTCTCTCTCTCTCTCTCTGTGAGTTTGTTTTTGTGGATTGATTGTTTGGTTTGAACTCAAATTTTACTTGGTTTTTCTAGTAAACAATACACTGCACTGGAAGGAAAGCATACAAACAAAGACTTGTAAAATAATATGATAAAGAAATGGAGGGGAAGGAATACCTAGAGATCAGCAAGCTGCACCACCTCCCCACCATCCCCCACCTAGGATGCCCCCCCTCTCTATATTTTTATATATTTATGGAAAAATTGTATGTTTTTGTTTTTGTTTTTGTTTTTGTTTTTATTTTTTTATATAAATCAGAGTGTCCAAGTTAATTTGCGCGCACATCAACTAATAATTAGGGAACTAATCTCATTGTCCACTAGCGAAGCGTCCAATGAAAGTCAAAATCAGGGTGTCCGAGTTAATTTGCGCGCACATCGACTAATAATTAGGGAACTAATCTTACTGTCCACTAACGAAGTGTCCAATGAAAGTCATAACAGAATTCAGCATGGACTGGCTCAACACAGAAATTGGTAACATTTAAGAGATTTCAAACTTGAGACTTGGAGAAGAGCAAACTCCTAAATCTCAATTCTATACCACTAAGCCAACCATTGGGAGTTGAAAAATTGTATGTTAGAGTAGGTTTAAAAAAATATTTACAGTAATTAATTTTTGAGAGTTATACTGACATTTATTTTTGCTTCTATTTATATAATGATATATAAAATTTATATAAAATGATATGATTGCATTGTAATAATACTACAAACTCAAAACTCAAATATATATATATATATATATAGACACTGTGAGAGCAGTTAGCTCCAAGCCCAAGTCTCTGTTTGTTCTCCATCCACCAATTTTTAATTTTATATAAAACTTAAGGGACAATTGAATTTTAAAAAGCTTGCACTACATATATGAATTTTTTACTGCAAAAGACTTGAGCCTAAACATTATGAAAATTTACACTAAACATTTTTGGGGGGGGGGGACTATTCAAATTTCTTTTCACTATTCAACTGATTTTATATTTTCACTATTTAAAAATGATTTAGTTTCTCTCCCATCTCTATTAAGGATCAGATAGGTTCAGTTCGTGAGTTGTGAGTGATTTTAACCGTTCGAATTGATTATTCATTCAAAAATTAGATTAAGTGAATAATGGTAGTCACATAATCGGATCACATTTGTCTTAAAATTATGAAGGACAAATATGATTTTGATAATCGTCAATGTTTTATGATGACTTTGATTTGATTATATATGATTATTGATATCCAATCAATTTGATTTTTTTTATATGGATGATCTGCTTGATGGGATCTACAAGTTGAACGATTTAGATCAAATTTCTTTTCACTATTCAACTGATTTTATATTTTCACTATTTAAAAATGATTTAGTTTCTCTCCCATCTCTATTAAGGATCAGATAGGTTCAGTTCGTGAGTTGTGAGTGATTTTAACCGTGCGAATTGATTATTCATTCAAAAATTAGATTAAGTGAATAATGGTAGTCACATAATCGGATCACATTTGTCTTAAAATTATGAAGGACAAATATGATTTTGATAATCGTCAATGTTTTATGATAACTTTGATTTGATTATATATGATTATTGATATCCAATCAATTTGATTTTTTTTATATGGATGATCTGCTTGATGGGATCTACAAGTTGAACGATTTACATCACCAAGATAATTCGAGGTAAGCCTACAATGCACAAACTATACCTCTCCAATCCTAGTAGCCAAGTTCTTTTTAAATGGGGTAAATTACACTGAGCTCCTCTAAGATTTAAAAATATATATATAGTAAGTCTCATAAGTTTGATATAATTACACTAAATTCTATTATGCTGTGTTTGGTTGGGGGATTTGAGGAGGGATTTGAAAAGGGAAATGAAAAAAGTAGGTGAAATGTGAATAAATCATACATATATTTCACATAGTTTCACACACTTTTTCCCTTTCCTTTCCCAAATCCCTTCCCAAATCCCCCAACCAAACACAACATAAGTTTTAATTCACATAACAATTGGCACATTTTTCATCAAAAATTCATTAATGGTATGGATGAAAAAATGTTGTCATCTCTTTTATATTAAAAAATATATTTTACCCTATTTATCTTTATGGTTTTATTCCATCTGCATTAATTTCAATTGCTTTAATCTTAGTAAAAAGAAAGCTAATATAATTATGTCAAAATTGTGAGAGTTATATTTTCTTTAAATATCAAAGAAGGTTAATGTAATACACCTTTTTAAAAATGAGGCGTCTTGATAATCTTTTATTTTAAAATGATAAAATGAGTTGCTATTCAATTGGCTTTTTTTGCAAACTAATAATATTAGGATAAATTACAAATAAGTCTCTTAACATTTACTTAAAATAGTATATTTTTCTCTTGGTAATTACAAATATTCTTTTGTCAGAATTTGTCATTTAACAGAATTGATAGAAAAAATTAAATTTCTAACTATCCTCCTATATAAATAAGAAATTAGCAGAACTATTAATTGAAATATATTACTGACATCATTAAAAAAATATTAATTGTCTTAATGATTGATTAATGAAATGAATTATTTATTATGCTATTAAAAAATTTAATGGGTGAACTGTAAATTTTAAATTACAGGATGCAATTATTATTTTAAATAAATTTTAAAAGTGTATTTACAATAATAAACCTAATAATGTACCTATAGTTCTATGCACTCAAAGAGAAGATGCCACGTCAATGTCTGCAAAGCCTTTGGTCATCCTGCTAAACAAGGGGCAGAGTAGTTTGGCAATTCAACTTGTGATAAAATTTTACACGAGTGCTGTGGGTCAGGGTTTGGGTTTTAATTTAGGGGAAAATTGAGTTTAGTGTAAGTTTTGAAAAATAATTATATTTTAAATTTTATAAATATTAAAAACAGTTTGCTTGTTTTCATTTTTCAAAAAATACTTTTCAGAAAATTCTACTTTCTTATTTTTCGTATTTTTTTTGTTTTTACTGAATTTTTTAAAATATTTTAAGCAATTTTTTTACTTTTTAGACATACCTAACATAAATACACCTAAAAAGTAAAAAAATTGTAAAAAAAAAATCTTTTAAAAATTCACTAAATACCAAAAATACAAAAAAAAAATACAAGAATTCAGTACATTTTTTGTATTACTATGTATTTATTAATTTTTTAAAATATTTTTTCATAAATTTTTTATTTTTAAAATACATCTAACTAAGGTGCATCTAAAAAAGTTTTAAAAAAAAATGTTTAAAATTAAAAAAATATTCACTAAAAACAAAAGAATACGAAAACTAAAAAACTCAATTTTCAAAAAACTTAATCCAAAAAATTCAAACCAAACACACTGAATAATTATCATTATAATTATATATTTTTTTTTTCATGAATCTAATAAGTTTCCGAAACTAAAACTGGAGGGTAATTTTCCCTTTGTTTATTTTTGTTGTTTGGGTTATAGGGTATGGTTCTAGCAAAGCACTTGCATTAAATTATATCAATATAATTGGAAATTCAGTTCATAAAATTTATATAATTTTTTTTTATAAAAATGATGGGACAATATGATTATTGTAAATAAATTTATTTTCATAAATATTTTATTTTATAATGAAAGGTCCATTGAGCCACATCATTGTATATAAAAAAAAAAATTATAAATTTTTTATTTGTACATCATTACTCATTTTCAATAATAGAAGGTTGTGTACTTACATATATAAAAATAAAAAATAAAATAATATGGAAAATCACATCGATTAAGCATACAACCATGTGGTGTTTTGAAAAAAAACTAACCAGTTACTCCTTTTGTATTCTCCTTTTCCATGATATTAATTATTTTTTTTATAATCATATATTTAAATCAACTTGCGCACATCTTGACTAGCCTCAAGACCCTGATTGTAATTACATGTAAAAGCCTAATCCATCGTCATGTAGGAAAAACTTCTTAAATATGTGCAACAAAATATGAATTGTATTTAGAAATTTAAAACTTGAATTGATAATTCAAAACTAAACAGAGTGAATGCAATCCTTTTCTTGGGGGCCAAAGATGGGATTAGAGAGGACTATGGAGCAATTATTCAGATAAGAGGGGCCAACATATAACATCCACAATTTTTTTTGTCCGACAAAAACAAACCCATGGCTAAGTGCATTTCAAGAACAGATTGGACCAATGACCTAATGATCACATCATATATATTATTAAAACATCATATATATTATTAAAAGTAGTGTTTCTCTTATGTTTCGGTGACACATTATAAGACTTTTTTCTTTCTGAGAGAGCCATATCAGTATTTTTTAATTACATATAGAGTTTTACACAAACTCAATCATAATTTATATTATATTAACTTTACCTATTTTATATGGACTCTATTCGACAAATATTTGTTTTTTATATATTTTTCATGATAAATTGAGATAATCCATAAATGCAACTCAAGATTTTTTTTAATGTTAAATTGCCTTTTTTTAAAAAATAATAATTTCTCATGCATTATTCTATACCTATATCAATTATATATTATTCTATATTATGGATTTGTCGTTTAAATTTTATAGTGATTCTATATATGAAATTATATTCCATTTTCCACATTATTTTTATATAATCACAACAAACATGAGGAAAAACCTGCACAACAATGATACTTTCAAAGAACCTCTATAGTTTGGGTTTACTATTTGAGTTACTTTTTCAATTTTTGAACACTAAAGTCCTTTTATGTTTTAAAATCATATTACATATGATTAATCACTTCACACACTAAAATATATCCATTGTTTTGTTGTTTTCATTATTTTTTTCTTTTTAGATTTAGATGTTATTATGTGATTCTTTTTTGGATAGTCGTTGTTGAATTTCTTTTATATAGTTGATATTTTAATTTAATTAAGAATGTTTATTTTACAATCTTATAATTTCATATATATATATATATATATTTCATATAAAATAATTATATGATAATCCAACTAAAACATATTTATATTTAATATTTTTTAATAAATTTTATATAATTTCTATTTCTACATATTTTTTATTTTCCAAATAAATATAAAAGAAAATTAAATAGTTAGAATTACTTTTAATTTTATGTTACTAATTCTCCTTCTAATTTAACAATTATTTTTAATATCAAAATGGTTATTTATTTTA